AACTGGGGACACAAGGAGGCGCGAGTACGGCAAGTACTCTCTTCTGCCGCCGACATCGAAACGAAGAAGACTGGCATCGTCTCCTGTTCCACGTGTAAGATATTCGAATGTGTAAATAAACTATAGAGAAACCCTACCTGGTGTTAGTCATTTCCACATTGGTGACCCCGGAAAGAAAATAGGAAGAGCTAGCACCATGGAAGAAATGCAAAAGAAACTGCAGGAACAACAAGAAGTAATTTGCCAGTTCCAGACACAACTGGCTACCATCTCCAACAAACAAGCCCTTGATGAGGTAAGAAGTGGTTCAAATCTGAAGCTACCGACATTCTGGCAGCGAGACCCGGTGCTTTGGTTTGCACAAGTCGAAGCCCAATTTAATTGCGCGAGAATCAGGTCCGACCAGACCAAGTACTGGACCGTAGTAACCGCCTTAGACTGCGCGACGCTCCAACCGGTTGCCGATTTGGTCGCCAACCCCCCAACAGAAGAGACAAAGTACGAAAGCATAAAATCCAGATTGATCGCCGCCTATGCAGACACCCCCGAAAAACGACTACGGAAGCTCATGTACGAAATAGAGTTAGAGGACAAGCAGCCGTCACAACTACTAAGAGAAATGGAAGCCCTAGCGGGTAAGGGGATCAGCGGTGACGTCCTCAAGACTCTGTGGTTGCAGCGTTTACCCCCACAACTACAGATGATCCTCGCCGCAAACGATAAAGAAACGCTGGACAAAATGGCGACCATAGCGGACAAATTGACCGAAATCCACCATACCAGCGCCATCACAGCAAATATTGGTGCCCTAAATCGCGGTACCTCCGCGCACGCCTCTCAAACCGTTACACCGGCGCAAGAAGATGGAATGGCTGCCGCCATTACGGCACTGCAGAAGCAGTTCGTAACTTTATCGACCACAGTAAACCAACTCGCAGACGACAGAAGGCGCCATGGGCAAGGCGAAAACTGGAATCGCGCCAAATTTAGGTCAAGGTCGAATCCGCAGGACGATAATATCTGCTATTATCACAATCGGTTTGGAGCAAACGCCAGAAGATGCGCCAAACCCTGTGACTACAAAAGGCCGTCAAACTAGAGGCGCCGTCGACGATTGAGGTGGTCCACGACGCAGCGCAAACACAACGCCTCTTCATCACCGACCCAAAATCAGGTACCCGATATTTAATCGACACGGGGGCAGAAGTTTCCGTGTTACCCAAGAGATTGTTCTCAGGCAGACAACATCTCAGCCCAGCTGAGACAACGCTCTTCGCGGCCAACGACAGCGCGATCAGAACCTACGGCCAAAAGCTAATGTTCCTTGATCTCAAGTTGAAACGTCCGTTCAAGTGGGTATTTATAGTGGCAGACGTAGGCAAACCCATCATCGGAGCAGACTTCCTGAGGCATCACAACCTCCTACCTGATCTCCGCAACCGACGCCTCGTAGACGCAGCCACCCTCTTATCAACTCGCGGAACCCTCGCTATATGCAAATCGCCTCAGATCACGACAGTGGCCAAGACGACGCCATATCACGCACTGCTAGCGGATTTCGCAGAAATTACACGCCCACCGCCACCTGGAACGAAGCACAGGGGAAACGTGTTCCACCACATCATCACCAGAGGTCCCCCGGTCGCAGAAGCTCCCCGCAGGCTTGCACCCGAGAAGTTGAGAGTGGCGAAAGCCGAATTCCAATACATGATGGAACAGGGCTGGTGCCGACCATCCAAGAGCCCCTGGGCTAGTCCGCTTCACCTTGTCCCAAAGAAACTCCCTGGTGAATGGCGTCCATGTGGCGACTATAGGCGCCTAAACAACGTGACAGTGCCTGACAGCTACCCCATCCCTCATATACAGGACTTCACCTACAGACTCGAGGGTAAGAGTGTGTTCTCCACCATAGACCTAGTGCGCGCATACCATCAAATTCCCGTGGCTGAAGAAGACATTCCTAAAACAGCCGTGTGCACTCCGTTTGGGCTCTTCGAGTTTACAGTTATGACGTTCGGACTACGTAATGCCGCGCAGACTTTCCAAAGACACCTGAACTCTCTAATAAGTGACCTTGATTTCTGCTATGTGTATATAGACGACATCTTAGTGTTCTCCCGAGATGAAGCAGAGCACGTCGAACATCTAAAAATGTTATTTTCTCGGTTACGGGAGCATCACATAGTGATTAACCCGACCAAGTGCGTGTTTGGTGAAGCCGAAGTGAAATATTTAGGACATACGATTTCCGGGAGTGGAACCAAACCACTTGAGACGTCGGTCAGTGCAATCCGCGAATTCCCCAAACCAAAGACAGTTCAAGATCTGCGACGGTTCCTTGGCATGATCAACTTCTACCGACGTTTCATTCCCCACGCAGCCCAGACCCAAACACCACTTCACCAATATCTGAACAGCGCGCGGAAGAATGACAAAACAATAGTCGAATGGACAGAGGAAGCTGAAGCTGCTTTTGAAACGTGCAAGACAGAGTTAGCCAACGCCGCGCTTCTGGCACATCCCGCCGAAAATCTGCCGCTCAGAATTATCACCGATGCTTCTGATTACGCAATCGGGGGCGTACTAGAGCAGCACTCCAATGGGACCTGGCAACCTTTAGGTTTCTTCTCCAGAAAACTTAGCAAGGAGCAGCGCAACTACAGCGCATACGATCGTGAGCTGCTTGCAGTCTACGAAACCATAAAATTCTTCAGGCACATGGTGGAAGGCAGAGACTTTTGCATACTCACCGACCACAAACCCCTCGTCTACGCGTTTCAGCAGAAAGCAGGCAAAGCATCCCCAAGACAAGTCAGGCAGCTAGATTTCATCGGCCAGTTTTCTACCAACATTATCCACATTTCAGGTGAACAAAACACAGTTGCAGACACACTTTCAAGGGTCAATGAAATCACAATTCCTACGTTCATTGACACCGACGACTTAGCCAAGGAACAAGAAAAAGACGCCGAACTAAAAACACTTTTAAACTCTGATGCAACAAGCCTGCAGTTAGAAAAACTCACCCCACAGGCCGGCCAGAAGGCTATCTGGTGTGACACGTCAACGGGGGTGGTCAGACCATACGTTCCACAAGATTCGAGAAAAGTAATTTTTGAAGGATTTCACAACCTCTCACACCCCAGCGGCCGAGCGACCAGTAAGCTCATCAAGAAGCGATTTGTGTGGCCATTTATGGAGAGTCACATAATGAAGTGGGCACGAAGCTGCATCCCTTGCCAGCGATCCAAAGTTGGCCGACACACCAAAGCCCCATTGCAGCATTTCGATGACGTCACAGAACGGTTCCAACATGTGCACATCGACATAGTAGGTCCGCTACCTCCCTCTCAAAGCTACAGGTATTGCCTCACTATGTCTGACCGTTTCACCAGGTGGCCAGAGATCGCACCCATGACCGACATGACCGCAGAGACAGTCGCCAAGACATTCTACGAAACATGGATTTCAAGATTCGGTTGCCCAAGACAAATTACAACCGACCAAGGGCGACAATTTGAAGCATCCACCATGAATGCCTTGGCGAAAATTTTGGGCATTCAGCGCTCTCGGACGACGCCATATAGGCCCCAGAGCAACGGCCTTATCGAGAGATGGCATCGAACCATGAAGGCAGCCATCATGTGCCATGAAGCGGAAAGTTGGCTAGACGTTCTACCTACAGTATTATTAGGGTTACGTACAGCCATCAAAGAAGACATCGGACACTCACCAGCAGAGCTGACCTACGGAACGCAACTGAAAGTCCCAGGCGAATTCTTTTTCAGCAATATCGACAGATCCGTAGAACCCACTACTTTTGTAGAAAAACTACGGGACCACATGAGGAAACTTCGCCCAACTCCAGCGTCGCACCACATTAGGCAAAGCACCTTCGTCCACACAGAGCTCAGTAAATGTAGCCATGTTTTCCTAAGAGACGACACCGTGCGAAGACCGCTCCAACAGCCCTACACCGGTCCACACCTTGTTCTGTCTCGTACTGCTAAGATAATAAAGGTCAATGTAGGCGGTAGGGAAACAACAGTGAATATCGACAGAGTAAAACCCGCTTTTATTCTCCAAGAACCAGAACCACCACCGGCTCCATCCCCAGTACGAACACAGGAAGTTACTCAAACTACCAGGTCAGGCCGCAGGTCAACACTCCCCGCACGTTTCAGAGAATGACAACTGACAGCCGTTTTGACAGCTGTCACCCGTTACTTGGGGGGGGGTATGTGGCGTTGCTGTGATGTTGATGTAGGCAACACAACGCACACGTACTACTTCCTCTCGCCTACGAGTAGGCAACTCAATATGCTCACCGAACACCACTCGTGATTGGTGAACCTGGCGCCGACGCAGAGACCAACTGGGGACACAAGGAGGCGCGAGTACGGCAAGTACTCTCTTCTGCCGCCGACATCGAAACGAAGAAGACTGGCATCGTCTCCTGTTCCACGTGTAAGATATTCGAATGTGTAAATAAACTATAGAGAAACCCTACCTGGTGTTAGTCATTTCCACATCTTCTTCACCATTAGCTTTTCTCATGCGAAACTCCTGTCTAACATTATAACTTATATTTCTTTGACGGAGAGTAAGATCGTGGTTAATGTATTTATTAAGTACGCGTTGAGGATCCTTTTGAGATGAGAAAATTAACTTTAAAGATCCAACTTTGTATTCATGTGATGCCAAAGTGTCAAAATATTTTGCATCAAGTATTAAGTTGGAAGATGATAAAAATGGGTGGTAGTTATTTTCTCAAGAAACTCTTGTAATGGTTCAACTCTAGGCCTGAAAGCATCATTTAGAGGATACCCCTTAAGAGGTCAAAGTATGTCACTACGCACTGGTTATATTGGTTGTTTTACATGAGAGTATTGTACCCACATTTGACACAGAAGATAGGAAGTTTCATGTTATTAATAAATTCAAAACCCTTAGGTATTAGAATTGGGATAAAAATACTGGTAAAAATGATAAAATTGTACAAACATTAGACTGTATTGATATTGCAGAAGAATTTGCTACAAAAACTATATCTTACATTTGACAAAAGTCAATCATTATAAAACAGTTTATAATAACTAAACTACTTTTTCGCTTTATATGGAAAACACATTTACAACTATTTCATTGGTTTCCAGACGTTGGTCTATATATACCAACTACCACGGCATGATCCCTCTCATAGGGTTCTAAACTAAGTTGTTCTTGTGGTTTAAGATGGTCAGCGCGCAACTTTTCCACTTCTGCGGCAAATACCGCCTCTGGTTTAGCTGTTGAATCAATACATGGTGCTTTAATAGATATAACGAAGTGCCCACCATTCTTTAAGAAGTGTTGGGCATTTAATGCCACGATTCTCGCCTGATCAGGCTGTGCTACATCTGCAAATATTGTATCAACTATTCCCACCAACATTCTATATTTATGTGGATGTCTGGCATCCTCTATTATTGGAATGATATTTGTTCTTTTCTTCGCCACATTTATTAAATCTCGACCCGACCTATGAGAAAATTCAACTGCATATACTAATCCTTCGGGTCCAACAATATCTGACACATGGGACACGGTGGTTCCAGAAGCAGCCCCAAGATATAACACTTTACTGCCTGGTGGCATGTGAATGTATTTCACCTGACCAAGAATTGCTGCTGCCAGTTTACTGCGAAATGGATTCCAGACTCTGTACTCTACTTTGTTTCCGTCATTCTGAAAATAATATTTTGATATTAAGTATAGTGCATTCATTTAAAAAAATACACCCTAGACTTTTATGAAATTTTGTTTAGATATTCCGTTTCGTCTTTCAAGCCACACCAAGTATGCACACATTGCAATGGCGAATACTGGTATCTCATTTTGTTTTCTGTTGTTTGACTACTTGCAAAAGAAAAACGTGCAATATTTTAATTAGTAATTAATTAAAATAATCATGAATATAAACAAAAGCGCTACCCAAAATTTGTTTTATTCACTCGTTTCAAATAATTAATGACATCATCTAAAATTATTATTAAATATATCTTGCATGAAATGTGCAGCGTATCATGCTCCTTTGTAAGTTCATTAGTTTAATTAATTAACTAAAACGTAATTATTCAATCTCTCCAAAACCTTTACGTCCTCATTCTAATATCTGTAGTTTATCCTTGGTGTACAATTTCAAAATTTTATTAAAATCGGCTTCACAATAAAACTACTTGGGTTGTTTTTCTTTTTCAGTACCAATGAAGCATTTTAACATTTCCTAATACAACAAAATGTCTATCAAATTTTCAATGAAAAGCATGTTTGGGTGCCAACATGCACTTATTCTAAACAATGTAAATTTTACCTCTATTGAAATTCTTTTTTCTCCATAAACTTCTGAGCCAGGAACGAGATTTAACGTCACCAAAGCATCTTCTTTACCTCTTGCAATAAAAACTGCTTCATGACGATGCGGTTCAATTACAACGGTTTTTCCTCCTCCACCTCTGCCGCCCCCGCGACCTCCCCTACGGCCGCCTCCTCGTCCACCACGACCTCCTCCGCCACCTCCTCTTCCAAAGGTAGGGCGACCCCCGCCGCCACCTCCTCTTCCAAAACTTGAACGTCCTCCGCCTCTACCCCCTCCACCTCCAAAGCCCCCACGGCCACCTCCACCACGTCCACCAAAACCGCCGCCGCCGCCGCGACCACCTGTCGAAAATCCTATAATATATAATTAATTACGAAAATAAACACAGATACGATATAAAATTGCAATACCTGGCTTTCCCATGATGATTTCTTTTTGAAATTGTTATTTAATATCTACGTTTATGTTTAAATACACGTGTTCTAGCAACTACCAACTATCACAGCCAACAACACAGCATAAAATACCCTCACCTCCTCACCAGTCACCACAAATCACAAAACAGACCCTTGCTCACTCCCCACCACAGCTTCCCACTGTAGTAACAGGAGGGGTTAGTGAGTCATTTGAATAAATTCTAAAATTTTGAAAATGGGCGCGAGTCAGCCTTTTTCATAAAGTCCTTAGATATATAAAGGACATAAACTATTGCAAATTCATTGTACCATGTATTGAAAAGAGGAGGTATGGTTTTTGCCCAAAAATAGCAGCGATATATGTCAGCTGGTCTGTAAAATGTCAGGTATTGTCGACGAATTTGAATTAGTTAATTAAATTAATTTTTCATAAATTCACAGTTGTAATAAATGTGACTTTGCATGGAAACACGATAGAAATCAATTGTTATGATATGATACAGCTTGTGCTGATGAAAATATGAATGTTTAACAAAAGTTGGTTCTTAATTATTATTTTAATGCAATCTGAATTTCAACTGACGGTTTCTAAAATAGAATTAGTTAATCTGAATTTCAATTTGTGCTTTCTGAAATAGCACTGATTAATCTGAATTACAATTTATATAATCTAAAAGCAACTTTATCTTTTCTAATAAAATACCATTCGAAATCGTGTAGAGCCCAATTTCAAATTGGATTCTTGTTATTGTTTTTAAATTAGATAGCATTCGAAGTTGCAATATTTTAAAGTTGGCGGGTAGTTTCGCCCGGAAATGGCGAATGATTGCGGTATTTTTATATATCTAGGGACTTTACTTTTTCTTTTCATAGCGGGACCTCTGGTGGGTGGATTGGAGAACTACCCAAATAAGAACGTGGACGTTTTCCAAATGTTAAATACCCCAGCCCAGAACCGAAACAGTGGAATGTGCGTTTGTGCGTCCTGGTGAAAACAAAAAAAACACTAAATCACCTGTTAAAAACTGTTATTCTGTGCTTAAAAATAAGTTGGAAATACGAAACAGTATACTGGTTGATTTTTAAAATTGTTTTTGAATTTACAGCGAAGACACGTTTCATAAAAACGTAAAAATAGGTCAGTTTTGCCATTCAGAACAGCTTATGCCAAAGAAATAATCATACCACGGATTCAACAAATTGGAAAATGGCAATACATATTGAGAATGTTAAAAATTACATTTTAAACAGTTCTGATGACGCGAAAGTTCAGAGTATTCCTTTTAAGATAAGTGCGGACTGTGATGCCAAAGTGTCAAAATATTTTGAATCAAGTATTAAGTTCGAAGATGATAAAAGTAGGTGGTAGCTATTTTTTCAAGAAACTTTTTGCTGTAATGGTTCAACTCTAGGCTTGAAAGCATCTTTTAGAGGATACCCCTTAAGAGGTCAAAGCATGTCGCTACCCACTGGTTATGTTGGTGTTGTCTTACATGAGAGTATTGTACCCACATCTGACACAGAAGATAGAAAGTTTCATGTTATTAATAAATTCAAAACCCTTAGGTATTGGAATTGGGATAAAAATACTGGTAAAAATGATAAAATTGTACAAGCATTAGAATGGATTGATATTGCAGAAGTTGTAAGTATATTGTGGTGATAAATGCTTTTGTGATATTTAATATTTACATATTTCAATAGTTGCACTCCCCAATTACAGAAGAGTAAAAGTAAGATGTAGTTGTACATCTATGAAGTGCCTAATATCATTTTTAAATTATAATGCTGTTACAAATACATTTCAAGTATAGTTCTTTTTAAAATATTTTTATAAATTAAAATAAAAGCCACATTTTTATCAGAGTTTTGTTTTACCCTCCAAAAATCCAGCAACACAATTTTTGTTTTTAATATAAATTTTCGTAACGTCTTCATTGCTGTATTGTTCACCTCAGTTTGTTTCAAAACTAATATCTATGGACAAAAAAAGTTTTTTGGAACAACCTGACTTTTCCTGGAATTGACTACGAATTTTTGGAGAAACGCTAATTGGGTTGTTAGAGGGACGTTATGGTTGTTATGACGAATGTCACGTTGTCTTGAAGTTTTACAGCTTACATAGTGCGAAAATTCCGCCCATTCTATAGGCAGTGTCCATAACTACAGAACTGATTACTCCAAAAAATTAATAGCCCCAAAAATGTAAATCCCACTTGAAATTTATAGCATGAATAATAAAAATGATTACATAATAGTAAAATTTATGGAGTTACAAATTGTCTCGATCTAGAACTTACAACTCATAACGAACCTTTTTTAAATTTTAGTATTTTGGTAATAAATGAAATTTGTTTTAGTAGCCGTAAAGATGGAAGACTATTGTACACTTTAAATTTAGTTATAACTTATAGATCACGAATTTTAAATGAACACACTGAAATTCTGAAGAAGTGTGTAGGTACATGAACCATGATTAGTTTACCTCAAAATATTTATATTGTTGCTAAAACTCGACTTTGTTAAGTTTTTTCCTCTTTATTGTGCACTCAAATATTTTGGTTTTATTTCAAATTTTTATGATTATACACTTTTCTAAACGCGCAACTTTTTTGATGTTAATTAAAATTAAAAAGTTTAGGATTTTCACGTGTCGGGAACCAATTGAGGAAGGGAACATAGGAATATAGTAAAATATTTTATATTTGACAGTTTAAATTTCATTGAGCCACCACTTTATGACGTGGCACTGCATTTAGTTATATGTATGTATGTATAATAGGCATTACAACACAAACCTATCAGAAATAAATGCTTCATTTCCAATCAAGTTGCAAACATTGTAAAAGATTTATGCTATATCTATATATATATAACTTTGGGATGATTAAAAAACCAATAAAGACTAGAACATAATTTATAACAATTTAAACTCGTATACTTACAAAATACACGTACTTAAATCTTCTGTTCGTAAATAAATTTAACTTCTATAGATAAACACAGTGTTGTTGGGTCCTATAATCAAATTATCTATTACATCACAAATAGCTAGTTTCATAGATAAACTATAATAATACTTGTATAAAATGGTGAAAACTGTTGGCAGGTTTATTTGGCAAGAGGTGACAGAGTGGTATACACTTCATAACTTAATTATTAGGAGTATTTCAGAAATATGCTTTGTGCGTCTATCAACTATAAAGGAAAAGACAGTATTGAAACAATTCTTGCATATGTCAACTCAAAACCAAATTGAACCTACTTCTAATTTGTACATTTTTTATATTTCTATATGTAATATATAATATTCACATCGCGGATTTTAAGAACAAATGGACGCAAACAGTGAAAGAAACAAATATTTCACTATTTTATTTTGCAAATACTGTATTTGATATTGTGATTAGTATAGATGAAGTAGTGGTTACAATATAACACTTGGTACTGACTACTATATTATGGTATAGGTACTGCTAATTTACCAACATAAGACCGCTACTACAGTACTTCATATGTATTTATGTCCACATGCACTTAGAAACGACAGAGTAGTTTGATTACAATGATGTTAAATACAGTACTTAAAAGGTGTTTACAAAAATTATTTATGTACATATAGATATTTACAAATTTTACAGTAATGCATTTATCACCATCGTATTTTTACAAATTTTAGTGAATAACTTTTGTTAAATTATTATTTCAACAAAATTAATTAATAATAATATTTGATGCAGTCAAACATTTTAGTTACATTTAAAAGATCGACTTTAACTTTAAATACCTAAAAAATCCGCGAGTACAAAGTGTTTAATGAAATGCATGTTCGGTTTTATCAAATTAATCACCGCCTGGAAAAGTTCTGCTTAATGAGATATGTTGTGTAAAATATTCTTCTTATAGGAACAGGAAATGAAAAAAAAAACATAAATAATCATCACACGAAAAGATGCCTACATTAAATGCATAAAATGGTATCATTGAGTTTCTTAAATGTAAAATCTTATTTATAAAAGTGACCAGAAGTTGAGGAATTAATTACTCGATATATTAGTATCACCATCTTGTAGAACATCAATTTGCCTTAAGCGCTTTTGATGTTCTTGTTGTTGCTTCATAAACTTGCTCAGTCTTTCCAATAAAAATTGTTTGTCATGGCCTTCCAGGACCAACTGATTTTTTAAAACAATTACCATTTGTCTGTTAGCCGAATTAACCGCTTTAAAGTAATATAAAAGTAAGAATAGAATAAGAAAAACCGGTACTGCGAAACCTGCGGTAGTCAAAAAACTTATAATATCTTGCACCCAGTTCGGAGTTGAATAAAACGTTGATTCAACTTCATACCAAACAGAGTGCAAATGTCTAAATGGTCCACAGCTCGGAGAAGGTCGCACTTCTGAAAATGAATATGCCATCGGTATTACCGCAGCCACAAAGGATATTAACAGTACAATCATAAACATAGAATTCGATCGTGACGCACGATATATAGTTGAACTCGGTTGACTGTTGACTAAGCAGGCGAACTTTTTGATGTAAAATAGTAAAAAGAATATTACAAATGACATAACTGACAGCAAGGGTGCGTAAAAGCATCCTAACCAACATAGCGTTTGCAAATATACAACGTCGAGTACGTGCTTTGGTAAATCAAAGCTCTGTTCTCCAACCATTCTGACGAAACTATTTTTAACATGTCTTGCTACTAACGCCCTGGGAAAATTGATGAAAAACGTTAAAAGGATATGAGTGGCGAAATCCGTTAATACTAATTTATAAATCTGTTGCCCAACAAAAGTTTCCCAACACGTAATGTTATCATCTTCAGTAATTTCAACCAGTGACGCGTACAGTGTAAAAATGGAAGCCAAACGCAATAATACAGTTCGCATTAATGTTATCCTAATTACAAAAGTTGGATTATATTTTTCAAACGTTACCAAATATTTTAAAAGAAATGGCACTAAAACGTTGGAGCAAACTATTGTAATCGATGGTATAAATCCATATATGAAAAGAAGAAAATCTGCTTCATTGTTTTCCAATGCTGTTTTTTGCTTCTCTTTAGAAAACATTAATGCATAATAGATGGCACAGCCACAACCTGCCAGCGTGCCTAATACTATTATATTTACAATTATTCTAATAATAATTAATCTCGTTTTTTCATTTTTTGTTCTGTTTTGTTTCATTTCGACCAACCTTTCTATTTCTAAGCACGCCCGAATCTCATTAAAAATAGCTTTATGTTTAATGCCAGCTGATCTTTCATTATGAATACAGAAGTCCCACCCACCAAAAATCAGGTTACAGTATTGATAAAACTGGCCTTCTCCTTCAATAACCCTATCTTTGAATCCATTCGCTGCTGACTTTACGATGGACATTAAAGACACTCCAAAATACAGAACCGCAATACATACATACGCTAGAGGAAAATTGTAATACATCACTGTTTCATTAATTGTATAGTTAAAGGTTTGGTTTGAATAAAATCCATAAAAAAGAATACTGCGCTCCATAAAACCAGTACCTTGAATGAGATCCAACACGACATTGTCGGTTTCAGTCACATTCTGTTCTGAATCATCGTTCAAATTGACTAGAAGTGTTGGCAATATAATAAAAAGGAATATTATTAAAAAAATAAATAAATTTAAAAATAGAAGATATTTCAAAAAAATAAAATATGCTACCACACCAGTTCCAAAATGACCTTCTATACGCTTTAAGGAGTTTTTCCAAAGTTCTAATTTTGTGTTGAATTCCTTCAAACGAGACGCGAAGTGTCTCCAGATCTTCCTTCTTTTCCAATTAAGTTGTTCGTATCCTTGTAAACGCAAATTTGGTTCATTCTGAAAAAAAAAGATTAATCGTATGTTTTTGAATTTAATACTTAAATGTTGGACATCATGAAAAAAATACTGCATCCCGTTAAAGAACACAAGCTGTTAGAAACTAAAGTCTACGAGACACATTTTTATGGTTTGCTGAGACAAGGTTTTGTCAGGCGAATATAAATTGAATTTATTCTTAAAATTTTCCTACTAAAACGCTGAAATATTTCATCTGTAGATTTGTTTGTGTTATGAGGTTATGACTAAACTACTGTTTCGTATAAGCTATTATCTAAAGAGTCTATTATTTTCTAGCATTCCTCAAGTGTTCATTTCAATTAATCAACAATTTTGTTAGTGTGTCATTCCATTAAAATTCGCAATCTTGTCATAATCGATCACAAAAACAAGACCAAGTAAAAAGTGGATCCGTTGTTACGTTTAAAACTGAACTACAAGATTTTGAAATAAACTTTTGTCATTTTGATGTGCAATATGTTAACCTTCGGTTTTTTCAAAGGTGAATACATAGATGCATTAATATTATCGTGTAGATAAAATTCTAATCAAAATTTGTATGTTCACCCGTGCCAAACATTTGATAACATTGTTTCAAAATTTTAGTAAATAAATTTCGCTTGAAATTTATATTGTGACCTGCTTTTTTATCTATGGTTCACACTATAAAATACGTTACAATTACACTCTCTTTAATAAATTGACTGATTCTTTTTTTTTGCTCATCCTGTATAAGCAAATCAAAAAAATATTAATGCAATGATAAGTTGCAAGTATAATCTGATCATATTTTGCACATTTTCGAAAGAATTTATTCGGCAAAATTTTAAGATGACGTAATCAAATTTTGGGGTTGATAAATAGATACATTTTGATTAAAAACTTAACATGCTTACAATAACTTCACAACATCAAGATTTCAAAGTACATATTCAGCTTTGCAATTCTTGATTTAATCAATAAAATAAATTGACTCAGTCATTCATTTTTTCAGACACCTGTATAAGCAAATCTAAAAAATATGTTTATATTTTTTTCGGCAAAATTTTGGAGAGGCGTCATCAAATTTTCAGGGGGGATGAGTAAATACATTTTGATCAAAAATTTACCATGCCTATGATAACTTTTAAAACATATCCAAGTTTTCAAAGCATTCGACTTTGTAGTTCCTGATTAAATCAATAAAATAAATTCACGCATTCATTAATTTTTTGGGTCACCATGTATATGCAAATCCAAAAAATATGAATGGAATGATAAATCACAAATACAGACTCATATTTTGTACATTTAAGATAGGATTTATTCAGCAAAATTTTGAGGTGACGTCATCAGTCTTTTGGAGGGGATAAGTAAATATATTTTGAATAAAAATATATCATTCTTATCATAACTGTAAACCATCTGCAAGATTTCAAAGCATTCGGTTTTGCAGATTCCAAATTAACTGTCAACATGTTGTTTCCTAATTTTGATTTTTTTTTTCCCAAAAATCTGGACGTTTCGGGTAAAAATTCAATTCGTAGTCATAAACTACATGTACAGGATTGTTATTTTATACATTTTAAAACCCATTTACTATGTACAATTTTGAAGTGACGTCATCACATGATTAGGCAAATTTTGGTTATCATTTTACCATCTACATGATATTCCTAATATAAGGACAAAATTTGACAACAATCGGGCCAGTACTTTCGGAGATTATCTGCTTAATAAAAATCCGGGACGGCAGACAGATGGACATATTGTCATATTTTGTAATTTTTGTGGTGCGTTGAGAAAAACATTACAAATGAAGCTAATGAGAAGGTACTACTAGTTTATGTTGCGTATTTTTCCAAGCGTTATAAATGTGCTACCCTTTGGGCGCAATAAGAATGATAAGAACGATGATATCTACGAAAAGAAATGTTGATATCATCAAATATATCCAACTTGTTACATTCCTCAAGAGGTAGTCCGAAGGGTATAAACTCAAAAAATCGAATATTTTCTCAAAAAAGCATGTGCCCATCTTCCCGCAAGAAGGTGAAAATGAAACACGGTTACTAATGAAGGTATTAGAATTTTCCGGATATATTCATATACTTATTAGAAATTAATTTTCAGGTAGTTCTGATTATGGGAGTTACGGGTGCATGTAGGAAGGAGGAATGAACTAATTTGCTGTTTGAAAACGGGAAAGATGAAGAACATGTTTTCTACGTTAGAATAAATTAATAATAAAACGAAAATTTCTCAACATTTTTTCATAACTTCGGGGAACATTGAAGGGCTTAATTTGGTGGAAGTGTTGAAATTAATAATACAAATGCAGTAAATTTTATAGATAATTAAATACTGTCAATAAATTAAGTTTTCATAGTTAACTGTTATTATCATAGTTATACATATAATGAAACATCATTATGTAACTCATAATGAGTTATATAAGAGTAACTTTATTAACAAGTAGTAAGATAAATTAATTAATTAGTCATGTGAGTAGTATTATAGCACATTTAGTAAAAAAGTGTTGTGTAGTATAAAATGTAAATTTAATCCAGAGTAACAGCAACTGCCTTTTTGACAAAACGGCACGAGTTTTTCCTCACACTGTACAAATATAAACATTGATAATAACAATGTAGTAGATTTTATCAAATATGGCAATTAAGATAAGTATTAATTTTATTTCATCGTTTTAATCCACTTCCTAATCCAATTAGAATTAAATAATAATTAAGAGTAATAAGTTATAATCACATGTATAATTCAGGTATTCTATTCAATACCTAGGCAATGTGTAGAATACCGGGGCCGTCTAGGCAATGCATGAAATATTACGAATATGATTGTCCATTACATAGTTTGCCTAGGTAATCTATACAATTTCTAGGGATTGTATAGAGTACCTTGTGGTCCATCAGCAATATGTAAAATAAAACAATCTTTATAAAAAGGTAGGTATTTTTTGCAGTAGAATTAAGAACTACTGCACCAAAAAATATGTATTTATTCTTCGGCTACTAGATCCTACATAAAAAAATAATATTAGACATTAAATATATGAATACTTTTTACTCATAACAACAATTTTTTTTAAATCTATAAATTATTCTACAAAAAAGGCACTTAGTACCTTTCTGTAACTATAGTAAAATCACAATTAAATCACGTTAAACTCAAAATTCTTCTAGGTAAACTAAAATAATAAATTTTTTCTCAAAGATAATCAGGTATGTACCTACCAAGTATTAAAAACTTAGGAAACAAAACAGTTGCATAAAAATAAGAAATAGATTTACTGGCTCTCAGAATGGAGTATGTAAAAAAATAATTATTTATTCTTACATGAAGAACTATTGTGTCGTCTTTTACACACATTACCGGCTGCGCATTCGGCATTGTATAGAATACTTACGCAAAGTATAAAATGAATAATATTTCATACATTACCTTAACGTTTTAGGCATTCTATACATTGTCTAGTATTGTATAAAATACCTAATTATACCGATTGCCAGTAACATATATACATACATTTTAAAGCAAAGTATGAAAAGTAATTTGCAGTAGCTAGTTTCTACGGCAGTACAAAATAAAATTATATCTTGTTTTTATGAATATTTTTTCAGCCCCTTCCGCCCCACCTTTATATTATTTTCTCAAAATATACTTAATTCTCACAGGAAAATGAAAAAGATTAAAAGCTTTAGATCTGTCATGTGTGAAATCTTCTGTATTAACTGATAAAATATCAAGCAACAACTAACGTCACCCAAAGTTGTGTGAGTCATTGCAAAAAGTCATTGTTTCAAACTAGCTTTTAATACTTGTAAATTATTTTAATTTTTATTAGACACTACTGGAAAAAGTGACTCACTGGTTTTATCTAACTTTTTAAGTAGCTACTTCAACCTATCTGACATTTCCTGACACAAATTAGATTTACAAACTGTAATCAACTTCCAGTTATTAATTGTCAATATATTAATATTACGCTCGCATTCCAAAATTGTGTCCACCGATTCCACAATAGATAAAAATTACAAAGTACATAGTATCAAATCAGTTTTTCCCCGTTACCTATGTTCGTGTTTGCTAAATTAACACGTAAATTTACATTTGTTTATATTCTGCAAATAGTATGTTGCAATAAGCGCATTAAAATTGTTTGCAATGTACAATGGAATTCTTTTTAAAACAAAGAATAAGTCACTCACTAAAATCTTGGCTTTCATTTCTTTCTTCTGTGACATTGGTACCGGCATTGCCTTAATCTGCATAATTTCCTCCCATGTTGTCTGCTCATTAGACAAGTTCTCCGACAAATCAGGTAACATAGACACTTGGACATCTGCAGCAGTTGATGCTCTTCGATGAACAGTAGAATCTCTTCGAGATCGTGACGACGTTTGTCGTCTAATAGTTCTGTTATCATTTGTGCGTGGCCTAATTGTTGCAGCTGAAACAAGATTTCACCACAATCTAAAACAAAAAGGAAAACTCCACAAACCTGCTCTAGTTTGCTTGCTCGGCAATAGCGTGGCTAGATGTTTCGGATTTACGTCCCGTTGTAAAGCATCAAATTCTCCATCTGTGGGGTAGCTTTCTTGATAAAATTCTGATCCAGCCTCTTCCCACCCTTGGGCTTTTGTCGGTTTCTTTTTATTTCCACCACCGGACATTTTGCATGCTCACTCGATTAGTACACGTTACACTTCATCATCTACCTATAGCAATAAATATAATTGTCCTTATACACAAAAACATACGAGATAATAATAATTCTTCCTACAAATAGTAGATTAGATAAGTGGAAATTATTTCTCTTACTTAAAAGCTGCTTTTGTGATGAATAATTAACTACAATTTTGAGATCCCGGACTCTTATTATAATTTTTGAAAGTCACCTCTTCAGTATTATTCTGAATATTAATAAAAAACATTTTTGTAACGGATCTTACGGATTTTACATTCTTGTTGATGGAAACTGGAAATTAGACTCCTCGTTTGACATATGTCAAACAAATGTAATGTAGGCAACCTTTAAATTTCAAAAGTATGTGCTGTTGCTGGCCAACATGTCGTTGACCTTCGCATTTAACAAATGTAACCGTAATCGAGTTTAAAATTTAAAGTTGATCAGGATTCAGGAACATTATTACAGAAAACCCTCGTGAAAAAAAGTGTGGTTAAACTAGCGCTAAGAATTTGGTTCACTAATTAGTAATAGTAACGTATTGCTTTTACTGCCTCATTTACAGTGATGACTTCCGAAAGTCTCGCAGAGCTATCCTTTCAAACCCTTAAGACATTGGATTCTATTGAAAATAAAAAGCAACAGAATTTGTAATTTATTCATCTCCTTTAAATCGCAGTAGATATGGTTAATATGAATATTTATTTTTTCGTGAATATAACAATTACCAACAAAAAAATTAACTTATAGCATATTAACACCACCAACTATATTTACAACACGGCCTTTGTACCTCTTAGAAATATCTTCTTGGACTTCTTTCTGTAACTGTTTAGTCTTGTCAATAAGCAGCTTAATGGCTGGTTCAAAACTCCTGATTTCACTTTTATATTTCTTGATCTGATCTTCCAAAATACTAATGCTCTGTTTCATTCTTTCAGCAACAGCCAGTTTCTGTTTCAGACTGGATGTCAAGATGTCTACGTATTTTGGAGAGTGCTTGATATTGTGTAAATGTAAAATCCGTTTGTTCATAAATTCGGAAAGAGCGACGTTGACGCAATCATTCATCAGTGTAACAGACTCAATGGTTTGCATTTGAAGCATAGGAGGTGCATTCTGCATCTGGGACATCGCCAGTATGTCAGAATCACTAGACAACTCGAAGAGGCGCATTTTGAGAAAAGCTTCCAATTCCATCAGTTCATTTATAATTTGATCTCGAGTTTTTGGATTGTCTAATACTGTTAAAGCTTCTGTACCTTTTGCAATTCCTCCATCCATGCCAGATTTTTCAACCACTATTCCTGATTCTTCTAGTGAAACTTCAACATCGGTGTGACTTACAATTTCAAATTCTTCATCTGTACTTGGGGTGCCACCCCAATCAATTTTTGGTTGCTCACCAAAGTCAAAGTCATTGTTCTCAACAGATATGTCACCAAAGTCAATTTCGTTATCCCCAAAATCAATTTGTTCTTCTGCATCATTTAATTCTTCCACGGTGTTTTTGTCAGAATTATCACCTTCCATCTCGATTTTCAATGGCTTCTCCCCATAAGTGTATTGATAAGTTGTTACATTTCCATTTTCTATTACAAATTTTAATAAGGGAACTACATCTGCATTACTACTTCTTGCAGATAAAAATTTGTTAAATTCTTCATATAACTCAATGGCTGGATTAACAATTTTGATTTTTTCTGCTGCAACTTCATAAATTGCTGTTAATTCATTAAGAAGACTTAGGAGTTCGCTTTTAATATTTTTGCCAGCAATTCCCAATTGTTCGCAAGATGTATTAAATTCTTTTATTGCTAAAGCTTCATTTTTTGAATAGTCTCTAATTTTCTTCTCTGACTCAGTTATCGACTGTTCTAGTTTTGCACTTTGTTTCTTTAAACTTGGAATTTCATAACTCACGTTACGAATTAGGATCTGTGCAGCCTCAGCTAGATAAATGTTGTCCTTCTGATATGAGGAAACAATATTCTGCCAATCTTTCATTCTCTGCGATCCATATCTCCCAAACAAATTCTTCGTATCCGCTTCAGTTTCTTTAAGAATATCAATAATCTTCAGACAGTGGAAATAATTTATGTGTTGACCCGACAATAATTTAATTATTCCTTCATGCGCTGGCATGTCTTGAATGGCATTGTTAATTTTTTCCCGAATCTGAAGAATGCTGTTTTGCCAGTCCTTATTAACATGACGGCGACTGATTAGCCAGTCTAGAAGCTTGTTATTGTTGATGTCAATGGGAATGTTTTGCTCGTCCATTTTTTATTATTAATTTACTTATTATTTAACTCAAACATATGTTACAAATACTAAACGACAAAGGAAGATATTTCTAAATTGTCAAAACAATGACAGATGTCAAAAATTAGAGACTCCTGGTGTCGTAAATTGCAATTAGCGCTTCACATGACAATTCGCTATAGTAAAGTCTAACATGTAAAGAACAACATACTTTTGTATTCAAACAACATCTGTAACTATGACTAATTTTCTACTCTGTAATATGTATATCAACTCATATTGATATTTTAATTAATCTCGCTTCAAATGAAAATTTAAACATGAAAGAAATATTTTTTAATAGTGTGTTGCTTGCTGCGTTATACTTTGATAATGTGAGTTGACTGACTGCGAGCGCGCATGACATGTTGCGTTCTACAAAATATTTCGCCAACTTGCGTCGAATTCTTGAATGTACCGAATGACTGAAAGCTAATGTCAGAAGTGTCAGATCTTCAAAAACAAAAATCCTACGTGTAGGTGAAGAAACACAAAATGGGATATTGTTGGTGTTCAGTGCTTTGCCATTTATGTAACTGACTCAGTACATTGATGTTAAATCAAATTTACTTTGGTGAATTTTGTGCAAATGTGTTAAATCAACTTCATGGTAGACAAGAACCTAACCTCTTGTTTCGTTAATAACAACTGTTTATTTTATTGTTGTTGCGTACGAAATAGTAACGTTTGCTTCGAAGAAATGTAAATTTTCCACCTTAAAAAGATTGTCTTTTCTATAAATAGTAATAATAACACAACAGTAGATTTATAAATGTCAAATGTCAATTATCAATAATTTTAAGTGTGAATAACAAATTGATCTTTGTGAACCAGACAATTTTCACTTCAACCAGATATTCTACATAATTTTAAGCAAAATGACGAGTACAGCTATGGAAGAGTATGAATTAATGAAAGATGCAAAATACAGGATGTATGTTGCTGCTATAGATAAAGCTTTAAAGAACTTCGAATACACATCAGAATGGGCCGATTTAATTGCAGCTTTAGGAAAATTAAATAAGGTAAGGTCACCATAGGGTTCATATATATAGCTATTATTATAATCTTCCACTATTATAGGTTCTACTGAGCTACACAAAATTTCCTATTATTCCCAGACGAATTAAAATAAGTAAACGTCTTGCACAATGTATGCATCCAGCGTTGCCGTCTGGTGTACATCTTAAGGCATTAGAAACTTATGACATTATTTTTCGATGTATGGGAACAAATCGACTATCTCATGAACTTTTCATTTATAGTGCAGGTATTTATTGTTTATCTCAATAATTCCAATTGTTTATTATGTGTGGTTTTTATATTTAACACATCTTAACGTGTTTTGACCTAAATCTCGTGTAAATAAAGTATTTATTGTTATAAATATTTTCCTCATAATAAAGCAGAGGGTATCATATTAATATGCTTGGGTGTATTAACGCAAAAGTATGGTGTTTCGCTTATTAAAATATTTTTCTATAAATATTTTCGTTTCCTGATAAAAGTTTATGCTATAAAGCTGTGTTATCATATGTTATCGTTATCTCGACAATTTCATACACTTATTCAATATTTACACTGTTTTAATAAGAATTGAGTACATACATGATTTAAACTTGGATCTAATCAGTATGTGAATGATCCCAATTTTACGTTAATTATGTGGTTAATGGATATAATTAATAAGCACATTAAATTTTAGAAAAAGGCAAACACTATTAATAAGTGTATTATACATGCAGCAAATACATACTAAAATTATTAATTGGTCATTAAATTTTTACTTCACGAGCATTGCAATAAAATCATTTTGACGAATGGCAATTTTTTTATGTTTTTGATGTTTCACAGTTTGTAGAATACGGAAATATCGGGCCACGTGTGGAGTATGTCATTTTTTTACTGATGATTGTCAAACTTATTATAATTAGTAAATGACTTAAAGTCGAGTCTTTACGTTTAGCCCAAGGGATTTTCAATACATTTTCAAAATGCAATATATCCATTATTAACAGACTTACGATATTGTCAATATAACTTGTTCAGAACTTTATATATATAACGTAAGAGCAGGTTTTTTTTATTAGTTTATTATCATCTTTTTAGCATTTGAAGTTTTTAATCACGCATCTTTAAACGTCAATAACTCAATTATTTGTCCAAATTTCGGAACACGGTTTTCACCACTGTTTTCACTTTACAAAGTCCTATAAGTTACCCGGAAAACATTGTCGATTTTTTCGTCGGGCATGAGATACAGTAAAAGTAGTTTCGTCGACGCAAGCTTCCTTTGATTGCATCTCATTTCTGACAAAAATGTTTTTTAAATTCAGTAAAATAACATCCTCCTGTATTTGTGATTTATAAATCCGTATTGAGTTTTTAATCTATTCATCTAGTTTTTTGGGGGAAAATCCAAATTTCGTTAATCAAAAGTTATTCGCTTATCTCCAAAAAAAATGAGACGTCATGTCAAAATTTGGCCGAATAAATCCTATCTAAAATATACAAAATATTATGACTCTACACTTGTGGTTTATTAATGCATACATACGAATACAACACACAAAAAAAGTGGTCGAAAATTGTTTCGACAGAACTTCCCTCGCTCCTGAAGTACAATAAAATATATCCAGCATTTTCGAGTTGAGTTTTTTCTCTTACACAATGTTGTGATGACGTCATCAACATTTTTGCAAGGACGCGTATATCAACTTAGATTGGTGTAGTGTAATACTAAAAATAACAGTACTGTATTCTCAAAATTTTCTGGGAAAATGGAGTGAGTCGTTTCTGAATTAATAAATATTTTGATTAACAATTTACCATGCTTACAATAACTTTAAAACGTCTGCAAAATTTCAAGGTATTCAGTTTTGTAATTCTTGATTTATTGAATAAAATAAATTGCTGATTCATTAATTTTTTTGAGGGATAAGCAAATCTATTTTGAAACATCTGCAAGATTTCAAAGCATTCGATTTGGCAGATTCAAAATTAAATTGCAAAATGTTTTATAATTTTGATTTTTTTTCCAAAAATCTGTACGTTTCGGGTAAAAACTCAACACGGATTCATAAACTACATGTGTAAGACTTTGTTATTTTATACAATTTAAAACCAATTTACTATGTATAATTTTGAAGTGACGTCATCACATTATTGGTGGGAGTGATTACACAAATTTTGGTTAGCGTTTTACCATCTTCATAATATTTGTAATATAAATACAAAATTTGACAACAATCGGCCCAGTACTTTCGCTTACGCTCGGGAAGTAAAAATGGTGAAAAAAGTAATGAAAGGTATGTAAATATCAGTGTTCCCGAACTATCAAGTATTATAAGTGACATCATCAAAAATAAAACCAGAAAATTGATGGAAAACATTGAAACACTAGAGCAACAAATTGCCGATATTAAAATCATAGTTTGAATCCGACGCCATCAACATCCCCCACAGCCCTAAATAATAATCTTATGAGGAATACAATTAAAAAAACTGTACGAGTACCGAGATCCCCAACGATAAACACCGAAAGAGAGACGTCAATTCGAAAAAGTGACGATAAAGAAAGAAATTATCACAGAGAAATATCTTCGAACAAATTCAGAGCACCTGCAAAGAAATTTTGGGTCCATATTGGACCGTGTGAGAAACAAACAGCTCGCCAAATCAAATATCATATCAGCGAAAAATGGCCCAATTCTCGGTGTGAGGTAACAAAACTCAAAACATCGCCTCCTTTCAAGTTGGAATTGAACATAGTGAAAACCTAAATAACACCATTTACGACCCCAACTACTGGCCAGAAGGTGTAGTTGTGAAACGGTTCAAATTTTCTTGTAACCAGCTAAGCGGTTCTTTCAACAAAAACTAATCTAGTGCATTCACAATAAACTCTGTGAGTTAGAAATATTTTTAGAAGAAAGAAATATAAACATTTTGTGTGTTAGCGATAGTTTAGATCTTTTAATTCTTGTTACACAAGTGAAACAAAGTGGCTGTTTCAAAGGCAATTACGGTAGCAAGCCCGGTAATAGTTGGTTATTTACATACTGTTACAAAGTAACCCCCTTCGCCGTCCCGGTACGACGTCAGTGGATTTTCTAGTACCTATGTAGGGCTCGGTGACGGCGGCGCTCGAATAAAGAAAAGTCTGGAAGCGGTCCGCTGGAAGTCGCGGGAAATCTCGATGGTGGACTCCAGAACAACCTCGAAAGCGGCGTTCGCGATCTTTCCAGAAGTGTACGGCTCTTTAAATAGAAACCATCGTTGGTCTAGTCTAATCTAGCTGAATCGATTAATAACACTGTGTAGTTAGTTGTATAAATTGGTATTGCAGAGAAATACATTGTTGAGTTTTACCCACGCCGATTTTAATTACCGATCAACTTAACAGTGCGTTAAAGATTGTACTACGGATCCGTTATGTTAAGCTAAATTTCTTCCCTGGTAGAATAGGGTCGAACAGGGAGCGACATTCATTGCATTTTGTCGCACAAAAGGGACACAAATGTATACCGGATATCTTGGATAAACAACACACATCGGGTGTGGTTATAACTGAAAACTTGAGTTTCGGATGCAACTACACAAAAATGCTTTGTTAAGTTAAACTCGCTTTTTGCACAGGTTACATAAGCTTGAAAATTTTTTGCTTACTACGAAAATTTTATTACGTTATTGATTTTTACTTGCCGAGCGATTTCATGTTTTTTCGAAGGTTCACAGCTTGCAGATATGAAAATGTTTGTTCCACCTGTTTGTCTTCTATTGTCCATCTGTTTGTTGACGATTTTATTCGATAGATAACTTCCCAAACTAGTATTAGACTGATTACTGTGACATCCTTTTTTTTTTAATGGTAAAAGGCAACTAAGATTTCGCATGAAGCATTATTTTTTGCTGTTTCTCATATAAAAAGCGTTATTTTCAAATTAATTAATCATAATTTATTTAGAAATTCGTGTTTTTTTTTTTTGTTATTGACCTCAACATTTTTTTAATACATCATTATAATATTTCGTAATTTTTACAAAACGAAACATATTTTGCTAAATGTTTGAACCAGAAACATTTTTATGTGAACCTTGAATGTATTTTAATATGCAATAAGTTAACCTTTGGTTTATTTGAACAACACAAGAACGGAAAACAGTTGATATACAGGAGCCTTAAGATTATAGCGTAGATGATAAAACTCTAATCAAAATTTGGCTGTTCACCTCGGCCAAACATTTGATAACATTATCTAAAAATTTTGGTAAATAATTGTCACTTGAAATTTATATTGTAACCTGCTTTTTTATCTGCAGTTTAATTTAGATTTTTAAAAAGAAATTACAGTTTGCGTTAGAACTAAAAAATTACCAACGACTAAAATTCATGTAGAAATGTGAGGACGTCAAAAAACTGTTGAAGGAATGTTTATTCAAAAATATATCTTTGGGTCCAATGTTTGTATTTTGATCACAAATATTTTTTCGTAAATGCCCAAAAAATGAGTCAGTGAAATAGTTTCTATATTGATTAACCCAAAAACGGTTTATTTAATTTTTAACATTTGAAAAACACAATGTTCTTTAGTTGCGCTGTACGTTCCAAAATTTATATACAGGATATTCTAGATAAAACTCGGCGGCTTTATATTGAAAGCGGATAGAGATACGAGATATTGAAATTATGTAAACGTCATGTGTCACGGTTTTTATCTTGAACAAGAAAACTTAATTTAGTACATCGCAAATATGTCATGATGTCGCGAAGCAAGCCTATATTTTTTTTAAGTTGCAACATTTTTTTAAACTGATTTTGATAGATCATTAAATTACGAGGTTATCCTAGCAAAAAGTTAACAGAGTCAAAATTGACGATTTGTCTAAGAAACAACGTAGTATATTTAGAGTTAATGTAAAATGACATGTTATTTATGTACTTAATCAAAATTCCATATGTACATAAATTTCGCATAGTTAGGACAGTTTAAGATTGATACGACGGTTTTCAATTCTTCCTCTGTACACTACGGGGTCAATTTAACGTGGTTAAAAGCTGTTGTTTTTTTTTTTTCGAGTTTAATGTCTCATCCTCATGCAGTTATTTTCGTTGAATAAAAATGTGTTTTTATTATCAATTAACGCTCCAATTTCGTGTTGTGTTAACGCAAATCTACTACTGTAATTGAGTTATAAACAATCTGATACGTGACTGTGTTGTAAATTCAATTTACGACGACGCAAAGTCGACTTGAAATTGGGCCTAAAA